AAAATAGTTTTAGAGAAAATCTTGAGTCTATGACCTAACCACATGCACTTAAGGTTCAGGTTGAAGAAATTACATAAAAAGAGCCCATAATTTTATTATATAAAATAAATCAGTTTTTTGGGGGGCTTGGTGGAGGGCTGGCACATAATTTTCAGGTTTGTGGGGCTGGCTGTACTAGCAAAACATTTCCACACATGTAGCTTACCTGACTTCCTCTGTGGCCTCCTGGTCAGTTCTCCTGTTCCTAGGTTAGAAAGATAGCTATGCTTTACTGGCCCTTAAGAATCTATCTATACCATGGCAGCAGCCCTGTCTAGGATAAGGTGAGCATGCTTTGCCCTCCCATGTTTGCTACAGCATTCAAAACCCAGGAGCTCATCAGTGATGCCTGATGGAGATGAGACTTGGCTAGGTTGAACTCGTACCTGTGAACCTGTAAGAGTGCCTCATTGACTTATTTCTGGATCTGGAGTGTACCTGCAGCCATGAGAGTGTGGAGCATTGTTGTCCTCATCCTCCCTAGGACTTGTGGCTGCTATGGTGTAGACAAGCCACGTAAGTCCTTCATTAGTTCTTGTTGATCTACTGGCTGTCAGAATGCCTCTCCCTTTACCAATCTGCCCTTCCCTGGCCTTTGCCCTTAAGTTCACTGCTTTTCTTCCATTTTCTGGCAGTTTTGGAATATAGTTAAGTAATTAGACCTCAGTGTTTCAATCAAAGACTTGATTTGTAGGGTGCAGACAGAAGTGCAACTCCCAGCTGTAACATGGAACGTTTTCTGCAAGGCATTCTGTGTTAGTGTTACCCCGGATCAAACAGAAGTTCACTGTTGGTTCCAGGGAGGAGGGGAATCTAGCTGTGGGTTAGGAGCCTGCAGCCAGCTTCCCATAGCAACAGCCATAGTTCTGTGCAAGTAGTCCCTGTTTTCAGAATGGGAGAGGGGAAAGGCAACAGAGGGAGCTTGTTCTTGGGGCTCCTCACCTTCTGAAGGGTGCAGTGGGTGAATTGGAGCTCTTCCTGCACCTTGTGGAGGGGCTCCAAATACATCTGCCGCACCCTCCAGGGGGCTGATAAACCCCACAAACTGAACTCCCTCCTTTCTCTTTCTCCCCTCCCATTCTGAAAATGGTGACAAGTGGGAGTGCCGCAGACATAAATTACAAAAGATGCTACATTTTGAAATGTCTTTATCTGATACCTCATGCAATGAGAGGTAAGATTTTTTTCACCCAATTTAACCACTTTTGGAGCTCTTGTAGCTGTGCACTTGTGTTTGCCCATAGCTATAGACTACTTTCTATGTCCAGATCGGGTAAAAATAGTCACTTCTGTCTATACCCTTATAGTCTGATTTCTCCTCATCTTCACAGCTTTTAATAAGAATATGCAATATGGATACAGTTCTGTGATCAGACAGCTAAGAAAAGAAAGTAAGGTTTTGGAGAACTTCCAAACTGAAAGGAAAATACTATAGAAGTGGCAAATTAGAATTATTTTTCACTTTTTCCTCCCAAATAGTAGAACGGGTTTGGAAACTAATCTATGCACATTTAGAGAGCTATTATGACTTATGCACAGACAAATTGGAATAAGAATTAGTTTGGAAATATGAAGGAAAAAAAAGTGTGCCTCATTAACAACAGATCAGCAGCAGTGAAACTGACGAAGACTTAAACATCAGCCAGCTCAGTGATTCAACACTGTTTCAAGCATGTAAAAGTTGAACACTATAGAGTTATGATTCTAAGCTAGGGAGCTTCACAAGTGTTAAGAATTATGGGTGGAAGTAACCTCAGGAGGTCATCTAGTCCAACCCCTTGCTCAAAGCAGGACCATCCCCAGCTAGATCATTCCAACCAAGGCTTTGTCTACCTGGATCTTAAAAACCTCCAAGGATG